CTCTGGGTCTTCCCAGTGCACCACGCCCGAGCACTTGTCTCATGCACCCAACCTGGGCTGGTGATCTGTTTCACCCTAGATAATATACATGTTTCAATGCTGTTCTCTTGAAACATCCCACCCTCGCCTTCTCCCAGAGTCCACAAGTCTGTTCTATACATCTGAGTCTCTTTTTCTGTTTTGCATATAGGGTTATCGTTAAAGAACAATAATATGAGAAGGCTTAGAATTATATTCTTCCTTGGTTAGAAAGAGAGATATGAGAGAAAATGGGTGCTTTGCAATGTTGTAACTCATTGGTTAACATGCTAACAACAAGCACATTACTCTGATAATAATAAGATTCTAATCATAAGAAGCCAATATACTCAACTAACATGATAAAATACATGTGGAGGAATTTTATTTTTTTTCCATTTATTTTTAATATTGCCAACTAGAAAAATTAAAATAACACCCACCCATTTATCCGTTTCTCAAATTTAACAGATTTTAGTATTTTGTCCTATTTGTATCTGATCTCTCAAATAAAATTTTATGAATGTACCTAAATTCTAATTCATTTTTCTATTTTCTTCCTCCCCAAAAGACCACTATCCAGAAGGTGGGAGACATCCCCATGCATGTTTTAGCGCTTTTTCTGTTATGACTACATTCATAAATAACACATACTATTGCTGTATTGGGTTTCTCTGATGGCTCAACCAGTAAAGAATCGGCCTGCAATGTGGGAGACCAGGGCTCAGTCCCTGGGCTGGGAAGATCCCCTGGGGAAGGGCATGGCAACCCACAGCAGTGTTCTTACCTGGAGTGTCCCCATGGAGCCTGGCGGGCCACAGTCCTTAGGGCTGCACAGAGTCAGACGTGACTGAGCGACGAAGCACACGTTACTGTATTATACATCTGTGTGTATTTATATATGGTGCGTATATATATTTACTCACACGTATATAATTCTATATGTATCTCTTTTGCAAGTTTCCTTGATTTTTTAACTTGACATTATATTTTTGAAATTTAAAACTACTCGCACATTTTTAGCTCCCATAGTAGTGTTCCAAGGTGTAAATAAACTCTAATGTATCCCTCACTAGGTGGGTTGTTTCCTTTTCATATTTTTTCAGTATTTCAGTGGACAACTCTGCTCAAGTCTGAGTTAAAGACATTCAGAGCATCAGGGTTAGATAGGGAATTTTACTTAAAAAAAATCAGAACATAATTCTCTGCACACTTGTTTCTGTTTGAATCTCCCACTTTAGATTCATCCCATGTATATCATGGTTAGTTATGTCTATGTTAAGTTTTGTCTCCTTAAGCTGAAGATTATACATTTTTTCAATTAATTGCTACTCTAAGCACCTATAATGATAACCATGAAAAATGACTTTTCTAAAAGGCAATGTTTTATAGCACTGTAGAAAGACATCTAGGTTTAATTCACTGCTTTAGGTAACTTGTATTTTATTTATACTCTCCTTGCTTTACTTTATGACTTAGAGTATTGGAAAGAGAGAAGGAAACATTTTTTTCTCTCCTATTTTAGTTGTGATTTTCTAATATGTTGCACCAGTAAAATTTATTCCCATTTCTTGCAATCTGTCATAAAGCGAAAGCATTGTATGATTTACTTGAAAGGAAGAAAGCTGCTTGTTCCTGAAGGTCATTTAAAGGGCTTAGAAAAATAAATTAACTTGAAGTGATTTTTATACCATTTAATTATCGTTGATCTGAATAAGAATAAAAATGAAACTGAGTGATTTTTCCTTGGATAAATTTAAAATATCTTCAAACCAATTACGTTCTCGTATATTGCAGCAACTTAAAAAGTGCATTGCATCCATCTGACTGCCTGGTGCTGGTGTGAGGAGGGCTGTTAGAAACCCCAGAAGGTGGACACTCCCTGCCCCTGGTGCTCGGGGAGCAATAGCCCCGGCCCGCTAGCCCTCCTGAGAGTGTGGCTGTGGGAGCACGGTCTCGCTCCTTTACCATTGGCTTCTCGGTGGCCACGGTGAAAGTTGTAAATGATGAAGTGCCTCTGGAGAGCTGCTACAAATGGGTCTTTCTCCCTGTAAATCTGACCTCTGAGTGGATGATATTGGGAGATTTTTGAAGGAAGTAACTGACACACTATTCAACTTAAAGTTAATTCAAACCATTTTTTTAATCTTATATATCTGCCAGATACAATCTATCCTTTCCTCTGCAGTTCAGAGTGAATATTTTTCTTAATATTTTCTTTTTTATTGAAGTATCGCCATGAACTGCATTGGAGAAGGAAATGGCAACCCACTCCAGTATTCCTGCCTGGAGAATCCCAGGGACGGGGGAGCCTGGTGGGCTGCCGTCTATGGGGTCACACAGAGTTGGACACGACTGAAGCGACTTAGCAGTAGCATAGCAGTATAGACATGAACAATGTTGTGCTAGATTCAGATGGACAGCAAAGAGACTCAGCCATACGTACACATGTAGCCACTCTCTCCCAGGCTCCCCTCCCATCCAGGCTGCCACATAATATTGAGCAGAGTTCCCTGTACTGTACAGTGGGACTTTGCTGGCTATCCATTTTAAACATAGCAGTGTGTACAGGTCCATCCCAAACTACCCCTCACTATCCCCCACCCTTTCCCCCTGGCATAACGGGAGAATATTCAAAATTATTTTTAAGAAGTGCTGGGACAGGAGACATTTGGCAGAGTATTCTCTGTTATGTAAATACAAAAAAACCAAAACACAACTCTTTGATGACCTTAAACCAATCTGGAAGGATAATTCTTTTAAGACAAACTTTTCATGAAGACAATCACTTCTGCCATGTGGGAAGATATTCTTTAAGCTGTGGAGTGTGTCACCCATATAGAGCTAAGAAATTATATTGAGTAAAATAAATATCACAAGGAAGGAAGGAAGGAGAAGGTTCATCATTCCCTTGATCCTGCGGCACCAGTGGGCAGATTATATTGTATAGAACCCATGCATTGAGACCAATATTACAGCCTTTAGAATAAATATCACTCTTCCCAAGAAAACCAAGCTCAATGAGAGTCACTTGTCAGCCTCAAACATCTAAATTACTCAGTCTTTGGTTCAAGGCCCAAGGCTAGATGTATTCTGACCTCCTGACTTGACAGGTGAGTTTAGTTTATCACTGTTGCCTCATTTCTGATGATCAAAGCAGGAAGCTATAACTATCACAATTAGAAGTAGTTGTCAGAGTTAAAGAACTCACCTTAATCATGCCAGGTAGAAACACCCTACATGAGTGGATTACTTGGGTACACTCATGTAAAATGCTTAAACCTGCCTGAAGTAAATGTTAGCAGTTATTAGAATTATTTGCTATTCTGAATGATTCCCAAATGATGAGTCAAGGCAATAAGGTACATTTTTGCATAGGAATGTAGGAAAAATGGGCTTCCCAGGTGGCACTAGCAGTAAAGAATCTGCCTGCCAGTTCAGGTGACATTAAGAGATGTGGGTTTGATCCCTGGGTTGGGAAGATCCCCTGGAGGAGGGTATGGCAACCCACTCCAGTATTCTTGCCTGGAGAATCCTGTGGATAGAGGAGACTAGTAAGCTCCAATCCATGGGGTCACAAAGAGTTGAACATGACTGGAAGTGACTTAACACACAGGCACATAGAAAAACTGTTCCCCAAACTGATCCTGCTGCCTGAGTGGGTAGAGTAACTTCATAATCCCGGACAACAAATGGCTCGGAAATGGTTTTCTTTCTAGGGCTATAAATATATGTCTGAGCTATTTTGAATATCAAGGCAAAACAAATGCGTTTGTTCATCCCCACAATGACTGGCAATCTCTGAGAAGCAAGTGAAGATGTTCTTTGGTTTTGGAAGTTGTAGGATAATGGAGTTTCTAGCCAGCCAGTTTATTTCAGAGAGCATGTTTGATTTGCACGTGTAAAAATAGTCCTTCCATTGAATCCCAGAGGGGCTTGATTTCAGCAGCTTCATAGAAATGCACAGAGACGAGATTGTTCTAAGAAATGAGCTCTGAAAGTGCTGTAGCGTTCTGCTTCAGCATGGTCACTTGCTAACTATTTTTCATATTCTATCTAGCCTTCTTAATACCAAGGGTCTTTTTAAAATGCCAGAGATACTCCTCCAAAAATACACATGAATCAGTCATTTACATTTGCTCATAAAACTCTTTTGCCTTTTCAGAGAGCACTGGGTTGGAGACAAGGACATCTTTCTTTCTTTTTACTGAGAACCACTCACTAAGAACACCATATAGTTTCCCTAATTTATTTATGCAAGTGCATCCTGGGGCACTGCTCACTTCACACTTCAAAAGACTGAAAATCTATTAAGCCTTTAAATATCAGCCATCCTGCAACCTGATATTTTATACACTATGTGGAAGGATATTGTGACTCTCCACTAATCTTTTCCCATGATCAGCCCTATCCACTCATAAATGTGTGTCTATTTTCTCTTTAGATGATCTTTGCCTATCTATGTTTCTACTGTGTGCTAAGTTGCTTCAGTAATGTCCGACTCTTTGTGATCCTATGGACTGTAGCCCACCAGGCTCCTCTGTCCATGGGATTCTTCAGGCAATAATACTAGGGTGAGTTGCCATGCCCTCCTCCAGGGGATCTTCCCGACCAGGGATCGAACCCATATCTCTTATGGTCTCCTGAATTGGCAGGAAGGTTCTTTACCACTAGTGTCACCTGGGAAGGCTGTGTTTCTACTAGTTGACTTTTATTAGATGGCGATTTTTTTCCCCATCTCAGTTTTAATCATCACCACCACAGCTCCTTTTATCACCCATCTGGCTCTGTGATCTCTACTTGTTATTTTCCTTCTTCATCCTCTAATTGACTTCTTTCTTGCCTTTTCCCTCCCTTGTGCCTAAGTTCATGACTCTCCATTGATCCATCACCAAAGGCTGCTCTTTTGTGGACATGAAAAGGAGGGGCTTATCTTCTGTTTATGACGTAAGCACTGAGCATAGTACATCAGGTGTGCATATCTTTAAGGCTATATGCTTTCTTCCTGACCATTCAAGGCCCTTTGTGAGTATTGCTTCTGAGACAGAGGAGTGCTGGAAGTTTGTGTGTGGCATAGGCTTGGTATCTGGATCTCTGCTGGAAGTGCAGATGGTGCTGAGGTTGTGACTTGCAGCGTTTGGTGAGGTAACAGCCTAGAGTCATACTGAGATCAGGAGCTGAGGTTCCCATGGATCAGTCAGAGAGCCACAGATGGATAGTGCGCTGAAATGAAGAGTAGGACCAGAAAAAGAGCTGATATGAGGCTAGAGAAGTATAGAAATGGAGGTTACCCCAGATCCATGGGCTTTCTAGAACCCCTGGCAGACGGCAGAATGCAGTCAAGCCAAGTGTCCCACAATTCAGGAACCTGTGGTGGACACTTTAAGAGAAGCACACTGATTAACTCTTCATTTAAGATCTGAAAGAATCTTGCATTGATGTAGGCCTCAGGGGGACAAGATTGGCTTCATATCGGGACTGGTAGCCAGTGGCAGGCTGCCTGTGGGACTGACACTCTCCCCTGAAATGTATTCAGAAATAATAGATCCTTGGCCATGAGTCACCCCCACCAAAATGTTGTGTAGTCAACAGAGGAAAGCTCAACATTTGCTTGAGTTCTGGTCCTAAGAAGGAGTCACAGCTCCTTCAAAAGAATTGGGAGGGATTGGTGAATTTTCACTTAAATTTTCCCCACACTATTCCACGTTAACTATTAAAAGTGTACTGTGTTGATGGAACAGGGGATTGAAGAAAGGTGATGCTCGCGAAAGTTAATTGTAAGGACTCCACAAAAAGTTATCTAAGCATTGCCATTCACACAAGTAAATGCTAATTCTTAAGTTTTTTAAAGTAAGGATCACTTATTTCAGAGATACATCTGTGATAGCAGATAAGACAGACCAGACATCTGAAAAGAATAGTTCTAATTTGTGTGTGATTGTGCTGTGTCTTTGTGTAATAAGTCATAATATGCAGACACCAGACCCTACAGAATTCTGTCTCTATACTGAAGAAGGAAGAAACTGAGACCATTTTTATTTTAACACTCATTCTTCATCATTTCCACAGGGTATTTTTATTTCAGATGCTTCACTCTTTTCAGAGTCCGTAAGTCTCCTTAGGGGGGAAAAAAATTCACCTTGGGGAGGTAGAAATCCCACACTGAATCTTGCATGATTCTTTTTCTGGTCAAGGGATATTCAAATGAGCTCAGAGGAAAGATGAGTATTTTGCATTTTACTGCCTTATGCTCTGCATTTCAAAGATAATCCAAATATCTAAAATGTGTTTTCAGTAAAGCCCCCCTTGCTACGTTCAGTGTCCTTGAATACCACTGAATGTATCATCAGTTTTCTAATATGTGTAACTGAGGGAAAAAAAAAGATCCAACAACCAAGAGGCTGTAAAACTTAAATACTCCCCATAGTAATAGTAAGATAAATGCAGAGTCATATTACTGACACTGCCCTGGAGGCAGAACTCTCTGCTGGAATGCATCATGTGTTTAATGAAAGGTACAATCAGACAAATTAAACTCCATATTTTGTTCATATCAATGCAATTCTCCTTTAGTCCTATCCTTCTACAAGAGGCTGAGTTCCACCACTGCTCCGCACTGGCCCACCTTGCCCTTCTTGTTCTTCAGAGCACAAGTAGCTCATCCACAGAGGGCTGAAGACAGATGGAGAGCTGCCGCCGCCCAGGAAAGCAGAAATCGTCTGGTCATTGTGGCGAATCACCATTAGCCTTCAGTGTTTCTCAGCTGACCGCCAGCATGGTTTGTCTTTCGAATCTAGAAGCAGCTCAGAACCCTGGTGAGCAGGAAGGTACACAGATGGTGTCCCCTTGCCGGTCCTCACTACTGGCCCATCGTCAGCGAAAAGGAGGTCTGAATTTCCAAAAAGATGGCTAGGGGAGAAGGAGGAAAGAACAAATAGAACACGAGCTTTGATGGATGTACTTGAATAGCACAGCTTATTAATCAAAAGTTCGTCCAGCCCAGGTCACGTGTATGTTGTGTAGCCAGGCCCTTTTCCTCACTTCAGTCACACTTGGAGGGAAAGGACTGAGCTTTCCCTCTGCGTCTGATTCTTCAGTGTGGCTCTCTCAGGACACTGGCCTTTGTTCTAAGTATGTCTCTCTTGTAGAAAGTGTGTGGTTATGACTTTGAGGTTCAGTAGGAGTCTTCTCATTGGGAAAGGCAGACCTTGTTGACCTGACAGAAATGTTTGTTCTTAGTTCCATCGTTGTATTTTATGTTCTGCTTCTGTTTTTATTATGTATGAAATATTTTAACTTCCTTTTTCCCTAATGATTGACTCTGTGCAGTATACTGAATCCTCTATATTTTTGGCTCATATATTGACTCCTTATTATGAGCAAGAATCAATTTAAGCTATGTGCTTGTTTGCTATCTTCTCTCTTCCCTCTACTACCTAAATTTATATTGATTATATATTTTATTAGTGGTTATTCTTATATTTCAAATACATATATATGTGTGTGTGTTAGTCTCTGTCGTGTCTGACTCTTTATGACCCCATGGACTATAGCCCACCAAGCTCCTCTGTCCATGGAATTCTCCAGGCAAGAATACTCTAGTGGACTGCCATTTCCTTCATATATTTACTTCTTGTTTTATCTATTTAATATCTTTTAAATTCTTGGCTATGAAAGATCAGCTGACTTACACTGACTGTCCTTAACTCTCCCTTCTCTTACTAACAGTTGTGATTTTTATTGTTTGTACTGTTAGGGATTGAGACATTTACATTTCAGTCTGCAATTAAAAAATTTACTGTTTGTTCCTCAAGTCCTGAAATTAACTGAATTTAATGATCACAGCCATGCCTTTTACCATAAAAAACTAAAACTTACTCTCTTCACATTTTCAAGAATCTCAGGGAATGTATATTCATTGCACTTTTTAAAAAGTTTATCTTCTGCCTTTATACCTGATCTACATTTTGTCTGGACACATAAATCTCATTTTACTCTTTCTTTGAGGACTTTTATAGGCGCTGCTCTGATGCCTTTAGGGAACTGTTAGATTCTTATAAATTTAAGGATACAGTAATCAGGCAGTTAACCCAGAAATTCTACATCTAGGTATTTACCCAGGTGAAGTGAAAACATGTGCTGTGCTTTGCTTAGCTGTTCAGTTGTGTCTGACTCTTTGTGACCCCATGGGACTGTAACCCACCAGGCCCCTCTGTCCATGGGAATTCTCCAGGCAAGAATACCCGAGTGGGTTGCCATGCCCTCCTCCAGGGGAAATGAAAGCATATGCCCCTGCCCAAAGATTGTGGGATGTGAGTGTTAGTAGAAACTATATTCACAATAGCCTAGGACTAATGAAACTCCAGTGCTTGTCAGAGGTAGAACGGACGGGCAAGACATGGTGTATTCACACAATGGAATATTACTCAGCAATTAAAAGGAACAAACCTCTGGTACACATATCAACATGGTTGAATTTCACAGACATCATATGAAGCAAACTAAGGTGAATACAATCATGGTCAAATGCAGGTTTTGGTATCTTTCCACAGGAACAATACTGCCCCAAAATCCAGGGACCTCATTTCTAAGCTTTAATGCTCAAACCAGCTTGTGAAACTCCAAACTTTTTGGGAGGGTTACTTTCACCATCTATAAAAAGGATAAGCTTAGATGACACTATTTTCACTTTTTTGAAGTTCTGATATCCAGAGAATTTGCTAATTTGTAGTCTACATGAAAAAACATTGATCAAGTCTTCCATTCCCTATAATGTGAGTTATAATCTCTAATGACATTCCAGTTTTAATACAGTGGTTTCTAAACCATTGTGTAGAATTGCTACATATCCTAAAAATGAAGAATCCAGGTCTATTAGTGAATAAGACCAAGTTGTATCAGATTCACCAATCTATTTAATTATTCACCTATTATTAATTATTTCCTTTTGTACTCTAACAATAACCAAGCTTTTCTTATATTTAATTTTTAATTCAACAAGTACATATTGAATGTCTACCTTGGAACTATATATAGGCCCATAAATCTGCTTCATTACTGGTTAGGGAATTGACTTTGTTATATCTGTTTTCTTCTTAATGAGGCAAGACGTGTAAAAGGTGTCTATTCTTTATAAATGAACCTAAAGTACCCTCCAGTTACTATGGTCTCTCTACATCCTGAATTTTTCTTTCCTCCAGTGAGGTGTTCTTCATAAAGGAAATTGAGACTCATGGAAGATGTAGCTCTTGGAGAAAAGAAAACAGAAAATAATATAATAGCAAACATCCCTAAGGATATTAATGATTTAAGAGCCATACACAAGGTCCTATTTAAAGCCATAATTCATATATAGGTTATGGTTACTTAGAAGAATTCTCTTTACTTAGTAAAAGAAATACGCTTTATTCCAAAAGTATTCCATTAAATCAACTGACATTTCTTGCTAAACATTGTGTTTCTTCTAAATACAAAAAAACAAAAACAAAACAAACACACACATCTTTCTTAACGTTTTCTCAAAGTAGAAAAGTGTTAGTTGTTCAGTCATGTCTGACTCTTTGCAACCACACAGACTGTAGCCTTGCCAGGCTCCTCTGTCCTTGGAATTCTCCAGGCAAGAATGCTGGAGTAGATATTCCTGGGGATCTTCCTGACCAGGAGTCTAACCCGTGTCTCCTGCATTGCAGGAAGATTCTTTATTGCCTGAGCCATCAGGGAAACTCAAAAACACCTATAAATACCTTTCTGGGAAATATTGAAGTAAGGACCTAGAGTTTCATATCTGAAATAATTAGTGTCAAGCTTCTTGGATTGGAGAGAATGACAGATGTCATATTTGTTCCTAACCCTTCACCTTTTCCTATAATCTCATCCTTTGCCCTTTGACTTCGAGGTTTCACCTAGTAGGAGTAGAATGTGTTTCCCATCCCACTGAAGTTGTGAATTACTTTGAGCAGTATACTGTAGATGGAAATGCCAGTTTGCCAGTTCTGAACTTGGTTTTAAGAAGCAGCACAATATTTCTGTTCACCCATTTGCCACTTCTGCCATTGCCACGAGAAAAGGTCTCAAGCAGTCTACTGGTCTCAGAGCAATAAGACAATGTTATGTACAAGTGCCCCAGGGGTCTGCAGACCAGCCCCTGTGATGATATTTGGTTATTGTTGTCTGCCACTATACTGTTAGGGTGATTTATTGCAGGATTATTGTGACAGTGGCTAACTTAGTCAGGCAAGGAACACAGAAGACAGTATCATCTCCTGAAGTTCATTGTAACAGAAATCCCTCTCAGATATGATACACAGGTCAAGCAAATGAAGAGCTCTTCAGCATATAATAAAGGCATTTTTACCACACCATGGATTTCAGTTTTCATTTTTTTAAGAATAAGAGACTGCATAACAGCTTCTGAAACCTCCTAATTATTTAGTTCATTCAAAATCAGCAGACATGGATCTGTGTGTGTTAACCATACACATTCTATTGTATTGTCCTGTGAGATACAAAAACCATGCAATCCACCTTTGTAGACTATAAAACCATGTTGTAGAAGTCTTCCTGGGTGATCTGACCCTTCCAACTGCAGGACAGACACAGTCTTCAAAGGAGACATTTTCAAGCGTAAAGAACAAAACCTAAAAAGACCATTCTACATCTTGGGCACTATTGAAAAATACATGTGTGTGAGACAGAAAGAGAAGGGACAGACTGCTCTTTTAACAGAAGAATATAGTACACACAGTTCAGCACAACTTAAGAAACTGTCCTGGGGAAACATAAGTTTCAGAGGCAAAGAAGAACAAATTGAAAGGAAACCATTGACAAATCAACAACACATAGACAGGGCAAGAAATAAAAGATGATAAACATTGCAAGCAGCTGACTTCCGGTACAGAGACAACCCATAAGCTTTCATTCTCTCAAGGCCAAAGGCAGGTAGCAAATCAACTTATCTGTGCAGAAGGAAAATGTCGAAAGGGTCAAAATGTCCTCCAATATCCACTTGAAAGAAGAGGTGAAGGAAAGGATAAGGTGAAGTAGGATAGAGGCAGAGACTCAGAGTTAACACCAGAGAGGAACAGTGACGGGGAGGGAAGGATGGAGGGAAAATGTGAGTCTTGTTTACTATTTTAGTGAGAAGGACACACACTCAGCAGTATTTATACAAGGCAAAGAAGATCACAGTCCTACAGGCAAGGACGAGAGTGCAGAAGTCTTAGTGGGTAGACTTGAGGAGCGGTCAAAGAGAGCAGGCAAGCTGCAAATCGCTGTTGAAAGCCTGATAAGAATGGAGGATAAATTAAAAAAGGAGAAAAGTGAAAACAAACCAGAACACAAAACTTTATTATTAGTGGAAGCAATTAAAAATATTAGCAATTGTGGAGAGTTTAATCTTGTATTTCCCCAGAAAGAAAAGTTCTTGAATTTTTGTGAAACATGTACAATACCCTCCAAGCAATAACTGTATTTATTTCATTTTATAAAACTCATTTTTAATATCATTTTCTTTTTGGAATCTAATAGTTATTACATTCAAAAGAACTTTTTGTGTCTACTCACACAAACACACACACTCATGAATTATAAAGTACAGTAATAAAAATGTTTACTCAGACACACCGTCCAGACCAAAGGACCAGAACAATATAATGATTGTGTGTCTTTGAATGTACTATACTCTTTTTCCTTCCCTCTGGCTCACTCACATAGATAACCTTTATCTTGAATTTTCACATTACCTTTCTGAACCATGTGTCCCCAATGAGATTTCTAGGATATTTCCCTACCAGGTTGAGTTGAGTATATTCCAAAACTTGTTTTTGTTTTTAAACATCAGGAATGAATAAAAGATCCAAATCAGTTCAATATTCTTACATTCCTTAACCAACCACTTTCCTGTGGTCTCTTGAACTCTCCTCCCCACCCTAGCCCCCTGAATGTTAGCATGATGTGTTCGC